TGGCAAAAGATGCCAACATAGTCCCATATCTCCATCTAATAACACTCAACTGCTGAGCTATCCGTAAACAGTCCACAGTTGCAATATCAACCAATCTTGACTCAAAAGGAAAAGAAGGCATATATTTAAAAAGCAGACCAAATGAACTAAAATGAGGACCATTTGGGGCTCTATGCAGAAGAGACAGGCCGGTCTGCACCTGTCTTTCCAGTGCACAATCCAGCTAGTATGACCCTCTTCCAGGAGTCATATAAGAACAAGGGACTAACCCTGTGGCTTGTCTGTCTTTGAGAAACACCCCCCCCCCCCCCCCCAATTCATGTGATCCTTATCAGTTCCTAATTGGGGCGGAGAAGAGTTGCTCATTTGACCATCTCCCTATAAATCTAGACCAACTCATGGGGAGGTCACAGACGGGGGGGGGGGGGGGGGGGGGGGGGGGGGGGGAACAGTCAGACGGGGTACAGTTCTCTGCGTGAGTGTGTTTGATGCTGGAGTGTGAAGATGCAGTTGAACTAAAGCAGGATAACTCAAGCAGCAGTAAGATACAACAAAGAACTCTACTGCACGCTGGATGGACTGCAAGCAAACACCCTGGGAAACATCTCCTACAAGTCTGAGTCCCACTCCATGTACCTTTTTAATATGCCACCTATGCTCCTCCTTTTCATATTACTATCCTGTGTTCCCAAAATCTCATTTCTTCACCCCTCTGCTCCACCCCATAGCTTATACATCTCACCCTCACTGCTACCATCTCTCTACTATTGCTCTCATCACCTCCTGCTGATGCTTTACTTACCTGCTGACCCAAACACCAGGACAGGAAGGCATGTGCACTCATATACATCCCGCTCCCACCTTACTTTCCTCACCCTCCTTCTTCTCCTAACCTCTGGGGATATCTCCCCAAACCCTGGTCCTGCAGTATCTCACCCCCACACCAAGCACCCCTCTTTCCTTTGGAAATAGCCGCAATCCGCTTCATTTAATATCAATCCCCATGCTCCTAATAACCACCCTCCCTTGTTCATGTGCGCTCTGGAATGCCCACTCTGTCTCTTAATAAGCTCGCCTCTGTCCATGATCTTTTTGTCTCCTGCTCCCTTAATCTACTAGCAATTACAGAAACCTGGCTTCAAGCAGCAGGTTCTGCTTCTCCCACAGCACTTTCCTCTGGAGGCCTTCTTTGGACTCTCTCACCCAGGCCCAGTTGCTGGAAAGGTGGTGGAGTTGGTTTGCTTCTATCCCCACTGAGCACCTTTCAAGTCCTCCATAATTCTCCCGCTCTATGCTTCTCTTCTTTCGAGACTCACTGCATTCAGCTGTTTTCACCTATTTCTCTAAGGATTGCAGTGATCTACTGACCTCCTGGACCGCTGTCCCGCTTTCTTGATGACTTCTCTGCTTCGCTACCCTACTTTCTCTCCTCTGAAATACCCACTATCATTCTTGGAGACTTTAACAACCCCATTAATGTTAACCCAGCTACATCCCAACTCTTCAACCTAACCTCATCTTTTGCCTTAACACAATGGACACAGTCCCCCACTCACACTGATGGGAATATATTAGACCTTGTTTTCTTTGCACTCCCTACAACCTCACAAACACCCCCTTTCCTCTCTCTGATCACAATCTCATCACCTGCACAGTCTCCTCGTCTTCAAATGCTTATCCCTCCAAGCAGCAAACAGTTACCCGCAGAAACCACACAACTTTAACCCTTCTCTTTTCTACTCTGCAACTCACCACCTCTATGACAGAATCTCTCCCCTGTCCTGCCCTGACCTGGCCCACTGCTGTCTACAACCGTTAATTTTCATCCACATTAGACTCGCTTGCTCCTCTAACCACATGAAGCATCAGGCCCCACCATTACAACCTTGGCAGACTGACGACACCAGAAATCTTGAGACCTAGTCGTGCGCTGGAGCAAATGTGGCGTAAAACCAAATCACACCAAGCTTTCACCCTATATAACTCTGCTTTCTTAACATACAATTCCTCCCTCCATGCTGCCAAACAAGCCTACTTTGTCACTCTCATCAATAGCTTGTCATCCAGTCCTTGTTGTCTCTTCTTTTAACTCTCTACTTTCTTCATTTTCACCTCCACACCCCGTAACTCACTGCTTACGAGATTGCAAATCATTTCAAAAACAAGATTGATGCAATTCGTAGGGTCATCTCAACTGTACAGACATCCATCCCACTTGGCATACCTTGTATTAAACCTCCCTCAACACTTTCCTCTTTTGACCTTGCTACTACTGAAGAGGGCACTAAGGTTTTCTCAGAAGTCCGTCTTACCACCTGCCCCATGGATCCTGTCCCCTCACAACTACAGCGGTCACCCTCTTCTTCCATCCTATGCTCCCTCACTCATATCTTCAATCTCTCCCTCTCTAACGGTGCCTTCCCCACCCCTCTAAAGCATGCGCACATCACTCCCATACTTAAAAAGCCCTCCCTGGACTCCACCAACCTGAACAACGTAAGACCCATCTCCCTGCTCCCGTTTACCTCTAAACTCTTAGGACACTTAGTCTCCAATTGCCTTAGCTCCTACCTCACTGACAACAACCTTCTTGACCCTTTACAGTTCGCTCACTCCACTCCACTCCACTGAAACTGCCCTACTAAAACTCACTGATGATCTACTAACTGCTAAAACCAATGGCCACTACTCCGTATTCTTATTGCTTGACCTCTCCGAGGCTTTTGATACTGTTGACCATCCCCTCCTCCTCAAAAAAAAAAAATCCACTCTCTCTTGGTCTGCAAGACTCTGCTCTCTCCTGGTTTTCCTCCTACCTATCGCAGCACTCCTTCAGCATTACCTATAACTCTGGCTCCTCCTCTCCACTCCCTCTTTCTGTAGGGGTCCCTCAAGCTTCTGTCCATGGACCCCTTCCCTTCTCCATCTACACCTCCTCCCTTGGTCACTTGATAAACTCCCATGGCTTTAAGTACCATCTCTATGCTGATGACACACAAATCTATCTTTCTACTCCTCACCTCACCCCTTCATTTTTCGCTCGCATTACTAACCTACTAAGTGACATATCGGCATGGATGTCACTCCACTTCCTCAAACCAAATCTTTCCAAAACTGAGCTCTTAGTATTCCCTCCAGCCCGTGCCCCCTCCCCTGACTTCTCCATCAATACCAATAATACAACCATCAGTCCCTCCCCTCATGCCAGTGTACTAGGCGTCATCCTAGACTCCCATCTGTCCTTTCAGCCCCAAATCCAATTGATGTCCAAATCATGTAGACTTCCCCCCACAACATCTCCAAGATACGGACATTTTTAACCTTGGAAACTACTAAGCAACTTATTCACTCCCTTGTTATCTCTCGCCTTGACTATTGTAACTCCCTCCTCATTGGGCTACCTCACCGCAGGCTATCCCCTCTTCAGTCTATCATGAATGCTGCTGCCGGACTCATCCACCTTACTAACCGTTTCGTATCTGCCACCCCTCTCTGCTAATCCCTCTACTGGCTTCCCATTACCCAACCAATGAAATTCAAAACATTAACAATAACATATAAAGCCATTTATAACTCTGCCCCAAATTACATCACAAATCTTGTCTCCAAATATCACCCAAACCGTACTCTTCGCTCCTTGCACGACCTCCTACTCTCTAGCTCCCTCGTCTCCTCCTCCCATTCTCGTCTCCAGGACTTCTCCAGAGCTACCCCCATCCTCTGGAACTCTCTACCCCAATTTATCAGATTATCTCCTACTCTGCTCACTTTTATGCGATTTCTGAAAACTTACCTCTTCAGGGAAGCCTATCCTGCCCTCAGCTAATAATGGAATCTTCTACTCCTCCTACCAGTCCATCCCCCACAGTTACTACCCTTTGTACCACTAGCCCCTCCATCTTAGATTGTAAGCTCCAAGGAGCAGGGCCCTCCTAACCCTCTTGTATTGAACTGTATTGTGGCTGTATCGTCTCCCGTTATATTGTAAAGTGCTGAGCAAACTGTTGGCGCTATATAAATCCTGAATAAATCCTGATTCCCATAAGTAACATTATTAACAATGCAATTTCTAAGATATGGCAGATTCTGTACTGTGATGTAGAACATATGGTAAACAACTAATGAGACCAGAAGTTGAGATAGAGGACCTGGCACTATTATTGAGGGATGTTTGGAAAGAAAGTCTCAAAAGAGCAAAAGAAGAGAAAAGGAATAGGGGAGACAAGTGTCCATCCAGGAGGCCAATGTCCTCTTGTCAAGGAGATCACCTCTAGGTATCCAGTACCTGTAGATAAGAGAGCCGGGGGTTCCATATTTTTTTTTAAATTGTTATTGTTTATCCTGTAAGACCCTCACCATCTTTTCGTGAGGCATAATCCAGGTCAGCTTTTGCTTCAGCAAAGTGAGATTCAGCACTGGACTTTTCTTTGCAGTGGTATTGTGATTTTGGCCGCCAAAAAGATAAAATAGATCAGCGTTTGTTTGTGTCTAAGGATATTTTCAACTGGTTCATTTAACAATGCTATCCGGGCATCTTTGACGATGTTTGTCATGATTACTGAATAAATTGGTGAATGGACACCCATCCAAAAGGGCCTGACTTTAGGACAGGTCCACCAAATGTGAAGGGTTGACCCCACCTGACCACAACCCCGGAAACAGGAGGAAGAGGTGCCCATGTACATTTTTGCTAGTCATTCAGATACTAGGTACCATCTAGCGTATACTTTTTTTTTTGTACCCTTCTTCCACCAAGGCTATATTCATAACACCCTTGTATATACGAGTGTTCCAGACCCGCCAATCCACCAGCTCAGGGGATATGTTCAGGTCCGTTTCCCATACAACCTGGTAAGGAAGTTTCAAAAAGGGGGTGAGAAATACTCTGTACAACTTCAACTTCAAAATGCATCCATGCAGCTGTACTGTATTTCAAACTTCAATAAAAACCTTGCTCAAGAAATTCCTTTTATAGATAACAACTCTGTCCCTGTTTTCCAGTTGTGCTCCTGTGTTGTCATTCTGAGATATGGAGTTACCAATGAAGACCAGAAAATGGCTACTTCAGCACACAATACTCCAGCATGGTCCAGTGTTGTTTTTCTGTGAGGAGTGACATGCAGCCATCACTGGAGTGTATGTTTGTAGACAGGTATTCATTGCAAAGAGGCTGCAGGACTCCAACAGCACTGAGATTTAACAAAGGATGAAAAAAGTTTAAAAGCATGTATTTTATTGCAAAAGAGACAACTGTTTGATAAACAGCGCTTTGGTAAACAAAATCTAATTCTGTTAGGATTTACATCCACATCAACTATCATGGTGGAACAGTACGAACCTGTATGTGAAAGTGGGCCCCAAGTGACTTCTAGGCCTCTACACTTTTATATATGTTATCTTCTTCAGTGTGTTCTGTTATAATTTTGATGGTACAGTTCTAAAAATAAAATACAGCTGTACACAACGCTGTACTCACAACTGTACCCTTCCTCTTTATAAAAGACAAACACTAAAGTATTACCCTTGCTCGTTTTATCACTGACCCATTTTTGTGTCTTTATTTAGTGTATTTCAGCTGAATCAACAATATTGCTTTCATACAAATGTCATAAGGTGCTTAGAGTGAGACTTTTGACTTTGACATGTTTTATAACTGTAGTTTAATACTTTTACATCTACTTTACTAAACACCTCTCCCCCAAAGCCGGTGGATGGAATTGTCCGCTCACCTGAAACAGGTAACACAATATCAGTATAATGGTAGTGCAGTGCTAAAATAATATTAACATAAAATTGTTAAGAATAGCGAAATGGTTATTGTAAAAATGCCATTTTAAAAGTTCGTAAAAACCATAGTAATAAAGTTCATGAAGTGACTTTCAGTGCTCTTAAAGGTGCTTGTTATTCTGGGATGTCTGTGCTTGCGCAGTGATATGAAGAGAATTTGCGCACTCACCAGACGTAGTGTAGTAGGTTAAATCTTCATTTATTGAGAATTGTGTTCAGATAGACAAGGTAAAATCACAATGAGAAACAGGACTAACCTTCCTTCAGTAAAGATGGCCACCGGAGCTCCACGTTGCTCCGGCAGCGTGATGTCATGGTGTAATTCGCTCCTCCTTGCGCGTTTGGTGCACCCACACGTCATCAGAGGGGATCGCCGATTGAAGATTTAACCTACTACACTATGGGCATATTCCTGTGTCTGAGCTCCCGATTGGAGCAATAGTTTTCAGTTGCCATGTACATGATAATGATCCATCCCAGTACCCAGAGGGATCATCCTGCATATCCAGGAAGCAGCATCCACCTATCCCTTAAGGGGAACTCTGGCTGTGTTGGGTCAGCACTTAAAGTCCCAGGATCTGATTGTTCCACCACCCTACCCTTCAGAGGGAAGTTACCCTAACATCATACCTACCTTGATGACTTCAGGATATATTTATACTGGTGCATATTTACTGCACCAGTTTATCTGGTGAGTGCGCAATTCTCTTCATATCACTGCACAAGCACAGACGTACCAGAATAACAAGCACCTTTAAGAGCACTGAAAGTCACTTTATGAACTTTATTACTATTGTTTTTACAAACTTTTGTCACAGCATTTTTACAATAACCATTTTGCTATTCTTAACAATTTTATGATCTTAATATTGTTTTAGCGCTCCACTACCATTATACTATTTCTTTTGAGGTTTTTACTTTGGTTGCCTTTGTACATAGCTGCTTTACCTTTGAGTGCGATCACATATGTTTACTATATAGGTAACACAGTATCCACAATTATAAAAACTAGTACCAACTAGTCAACTCAGATATTTATTTTATTTATTTAATAAAGGCACTTCTATAGCGCAGTCAATTTACACAGAGCTTTGCTATAATATATTTTACATGCACACCAGTCCCTAACCCTCAAGGAGCGTACAATCTAAGGTCCCTAATTGACACTTTAGACAGGAGCCAATTACCAGCGTGTCTTTGGAGTTTGGAAGGAAACCGGAGTACCCGAAGGAAACCCACGCAGGCAGAGGGACAACATGCAGTTATCTGTATTTCCTTCGACCTAACTGGAACATCCATATTTTGTTATATTTGGCCTCCCAGTATATGCTTGTCCATGTTCTCAGAGACAGTTGGCTTGGGTGGTTATATGGCTGGGATTTGCTTGAATAAATACAGTATTTTGTGCTTATCTGGTGAGGAGCATCTTACCCGACTCCACTTTTCATTTGCCCCGAAGTTTGTTCTCCACCTGAGAAGCAACTGCTTAGTAGACGCAAGGGTTTTAGTTGAACCGTCCCTTCCCTCCTAGACTGTCCATTTTTCCTCTCCTTTGCTACCTCTGGTCAGTGGGTGGCAAGTGGGGGAGATCTCAGCAGCCAACTTGGTCCCCTTTGCAATCCAGGCTGCATCTTCTCTTGTGGGCCCTGACTCCACCGTAGAGAGTGTGAGCGGCTGTGCCCTGGTTCCCCTCTCACCCAAAAGGAAGCCCATCAGATAGTGGGATAAAGAGTTCAGGCAAGTCTTGGGGCATGGTGATCTTCCTCTGGGCAACATACTATGTTACAGGGGTGCGTTGTGGCCTTGTTGCTCCACATGTTTCCTCGCACTTGAGGGAACCTGCACCAGAGGGGGAATTATTCCTTGGTGCTGGGATCCACAGGCATATTTTTGTCAGACTCCCTCTGGTTGACTGTGGCAACAACAGATCCTGCAGATTTGTGCACCAGTGGCTCTAATGTGGCACAGGTATGAGGTACCCTTGGAAGGAATGTCCTCTTCTTTGGATGCTGGTTCATATCATTGCTTTTTTAGGGGCACTGCTTCTGTCTTATGAGGCATCTTGAAGTAACCAAAGCTTAGAGAAAATCCAACAACCTTTTTGTGCAATTTTCAGGACCAAGGAAAGGAAACAGTGCAATAGTTAAATGGTTAAAAAATGCTATTTCAGAATTCTATTGGGCTCATCTGATTAAACCTTCAAAGTGCATTAAAGCTTAGCGCCATGGCCTTCTCTCGGGCTGAAGAAGCTAATTCTTTTCCTGAGCAGATCTGTAAAGCAGGCACCTGGATGGACTTTCAGACCTTACTTTAGCATTACTACATTGATCTTCTCTCTATCCAGCACCAAACATTCAGCATGAAGGTTCTGCAGGCTGCTGTTAACTTCCCCAAGGTGTTCTTGTTTGTCATCTTATAATGCTATCCTGGAATATGATTGGGGAAACCAGTCAGTTATCTGGTAACTCAATTTCCAGAAATCTTCCAGGACTCCAGCCCTATTCTTACTTTCTTGGTAGTTATTTGGTATGACATTTTCATTGTGGTTTGTTAACGTTGGTTGTTGCCTATTACTAAGGTTATTAGTTGGTACTGGTGTTTTATAATTATGGGTAATGTGTTTCAGGTGGCCCGAGCCTTTCTCTCTCATATACTGTCCTGAAAGTTTCCAGGGAATGTAGTTACAAGGTAAATAACTCTCTGTTTTTCTCGAATCTGTTTTAGGAATCTTTGCAAAATCGGCAAGATTAGGTTCATTCCCTAAAATTGCAAGTAAGTCATTCTTAAAGGAATTTTTTGTGCACCTCTTTTACAGTGATGTGTGTGACCACCATTTCTTTATGAATTCCCTCTTTATCTATTTGGGTTGGCCTGGTAGTGAGTAAAAGTGCTCAACACACTTTGATATGAGCTCAGTTCTGTTTGGCTGCAATGGTTTGTGATATTTGCACATCATATTTTATCTTTGCAGTGCCCCAATATACATTTATGTATCTGAGTGTTTAAAATGGAATTGTAATTAAAAAAAAGTAATTAAATTGCAGGCTTTTTAATGAAGAAGAAACTTTATATGTCTCTTATGCATTAAAGATTTTTACTTGGCTGACTGCTGTGTACACTGCGCACGTGCAGCTTAGTGTACATATTTGGCATCTGCCCTGCCAATGAAAATGAACAAGATCAGCTGTGAGGTCATTCACTCACAGAGCTGCGGCTTGGCCCCGCCCCTCTCTCTTCTCACTGGCTGTGATTGACAGCAGCGGGAGCCACTGGTTCTTGCTGCTGTCTCAGCTAATGAGAAGAGGGAGTCCCAGAATCGCTGAGACTCCAGTGCACATTGCTGGATCGAGAGGGGGCTTACGTGAGTATTAGGGGGGCTGAGGGGGGATGCTGCACAGAGAAGGTTTTTTACCTTCATGCATAAATACATGAAGGTAAAAAAAACTTCAGCCTTTGCAACCACTTTAAGGCTGCAGTAAGAAATTAAAAGGGGAGTTACTATTGTCCAAAATCATACAGTCATTATTGGGCATAAAGTTCCTTAAATGAAAAGATTTGTTTTATTGTGAAATGTGTTGCTGCTTTAAAGAGGTTTGTTAAAGGCCAAGTCCACTTTTGCAAATAAATGCACTCACATTTTCAGAAAAAAAAAATGCATTTGTTATTTCTTTTGCATGTGAGACGGCAAAGCATTGCAGCCACAATTTGTGGATCACAGGTGCAATGCAGAGGCTGTTGCTGACTCTTCTTCCAGTTCCATGTCTGTACTGAAGTGTTGACTTTTGGTTGCAGAGCTGGAGGAAGTGTCATTGGACTACAAGTGCAGTACACCACACCACATTTGTGTCCCATTGATAACTACAACTACAAGTCCCTCTGAAGCAGTGATTTATTCAGTGCTCCTACAACTTTCTAATTCTATGAGAACGTCATTCAGTTTTACCTGCAGCCCCATCTCACGGTGATATTAAAGGGGGTATTGGGAAAGTCAGTATAAGCAAATTCCACAAAAAGCAACTTGTATTGTAACCATGCAAAGAATTTGCATCCAACCAGACAGGCAACCTGTAGATTGTGGCCAGGTGACTGGTAGATCGCGGTCTGGGCTTGCTGACCTGCCATGCCAGAGTATGAAATAGAGTGCAATGCAGAGGGACTACTTGTTGGAGCTGTAGTAGTGAGCAAGTGCCACATAAGCCGATGCCTCCTCTGTATTGCTGGCTCCTGTCCCATGTGGAGTGATACCAACAGCACGTCACTTCTTATCCTGGCTATGGTCTTCAGAGTGGTGCCAGCAGCAGGAAAGAAGAGATCTTCAGGTCAGTGTGAAGCCATACACTGGGAATAATAGTATAGGGCTGCTTTCACACTGATGTGCTGCGGTACCGTGGGTGCAGTTCAGTGTTTCTGCAGCTTACCTGTGGGTTTACTGCTCTTAGCCATAGACTTCTAATATATCCTGCGGTTTTGGTGCACTTTTTGAAAGCGCATCAAAACTCCTGAATGCAGGAATTTTGGTGCACTTTCAGAAAGTGCACCACAGCTGCAGGATATAATAGAAGTCTATGACAAAGCTAAGCTAGCCCAGGAAAGTCGCAGATGCACTGTGCTGTACCCGGGGTGCAGGTAAACTTCAGCACATCCATGTGAAAGCAGCTTTATAGGGGGCTCAGAACAGTACGGTTTCTTTTACATTTGTAGTTTAGGAGGGTGGTAAAACCCCATATAGTTACATAGACATGTTTTTACTGCAACCATTTAGCTGCAGTGGCCAGGGGTGTACATATGTCACAGTCACAGCAGGAGTTATACACCTTGTCATGGTGGGTGTAGCACTTGCCAAGCTTGACCTATTCAAGTGAGTGAGGCTGCTCTGCAAGTGCCCTGCAACCCTGTGCAGTACAGGAATCAAGGGGTAAAAGCAGGCAGTGTTGTGTTGCTTTCTCTCCACCTGCTTTAACCCCTTGTACTCTGCAGAAGCATGCAGTTGCAGGGCGCTTGCATAGTGGCTCCATTTACTTGAATGGGTCACGTCTGGCAGGCGGTAGCACCCACCAAAAGCAGCAGGAGGTTTAATTCTTGCTGGGGCATGTGTACACCTTTGGCTGCTGCCTCAGCAGCTAAAGGGGGTAAGAATTGGGGGTGTTAAAACTGCGATTAAACTGCAACTAAGGGCTCATTTACAAGTGCAGCAGGCATTCTGCTCCTCTGAAAAGCGATCCAAGTGTGTTTGACAGGTGGTGAGGAGGCAACATATCGCGCATCATGATTGCAGTGCAATGCACGCAATTGTGACATGGTAGTACATCAATTTAATGGATTCAATCAGGTGTGCGGAAGCGACACTGTGCCCAGTGATCTTTGTCTTCTCCCATAGTGTTCAGGTAAATCTCCACCTCTTTAAGGTTGCCTACCCCTGATTTACAGGATATTGTATGGTCAGAAGACCGCATGTGTGGTTGACTTTGGAATACTGGCAGGAAGGCTCTTATGGTCATTTTGTATTCTCAATCATCTATACCAGTGGTCGGCAAGCCGCGGCTCGCGAGCCACATGCGGCTCTTTACACGCTTTAATGCGGCTCTTGTGTGCCGGGCGCCGCTCCCCTCCCTCCTCTCGGGCGGCAGGGACTCTGCAGCGTGATCCAAAAAAAAAACAGCCAGGGCAGCGCGCTCAAATGCAATGATTGGCCAGTCTCGCTGCCACTCACATCCTGATAGCCAGTGATTGGCTGTCAGGATGTGTGTAGGCGGGGCAGCGTGACGAACGTGAGAGGAGCTAGGCTCCTCTCACAGTCCGCCCTGAAGACCGGAACGGCGTGGGAACACGGCGAGAGGAACGTGCGGAGCAAAGGTAAGTGATTTGACACAGGGGGGACTTGGCTTACTACTTGCTACTTACTTACTACTACTATATGAGGGATGAATTAATATGGGGGATGAATTACTATGGGGGATAATTTACTATATGGGGGATGAATTACTATGGGGGATAATTACTATAGGGGGGGTGAATTACTATGGGGGGATGAATTACTATAGGGGGGATGAATTACTATAGGGGGGATTAATTATATAGGGGGATGAATTACTATAGGGGGGATGAATTACTATATGGGGGATGAATTACTATATGGGGGATGAATTACTATAAAAACTTATTGAAACTAAAAAACAGTGTACCATCCTATGTATTTTCAGTTTTAAAATTGTGGCTCTCAAAATAAATTTCAATCGTGGTTTTGGCGAGATTTGGCTCAGTTGAAAAAAAAAAAGGTTGCCCACCACTGATCTATACAAATGAGAGAAATACAGCGCAGCCAGTGTCACAGGAGGGTCATTCAATTATAAGATTCTCACTATCTGCCAAGTTTAACTATTTACCTTGGATCTCTTTGTATAGATGTGTGTGCACTCTATTGATAGCTATTTTGTGTTTGTTTTAAAGTTGTCGGATATTTGGGGTACATGACAGGAGTAATGTCATACATTAAAACCTGTGAAGACAAATTAATGAAACTGGAGAACTCCAAACTGGGTGAACACATTCGTCGAAATCGCCTCAAAACGTAAGATCATCTGTACACTGCTTGAAATTATACATCACATCCTGGGAGAACGGAAGAGTTTTAATATACATATAAATCTCTCCCATTAGGTGCTAATGGGGTGTGTACTCATGAACTCCAAAATATCTGAGTCAACCCTCTGCACACTGCTATTCATCCTTACACATTTTTAGCACAATTTGCATGAAAACAGGGATTTTTGGTTCACATACATTGCAGTATATGTTTAAGCTGGTCAGCTGTGTCAAAGTAATCCCTCTCTGGCCAGTCCATGCTCTATGCAAAATGCAAATTACTTACTTATTTTATATTTCAATGTGATCACAACAGGAGGTCTGGAGTCCATATGAGCCAAGTATGCCAGCACATTACCGGGGCGCTCGCCATGTTCAAAAATGCGTTGACGCTTGAAAAAGAGAATTTTTGTTTGGCCTTTTCATAAGTTAATTGCTCCACTAATCTAGTGTGCAGTTTCAAATTGGTTAGCCGATCAGGCCTGGGATCCGTAAGATAATGATCCTGGAGACTAGCAAGATGTGAACTAGTTTGGAAGTACATTTAATGCTAGATATACACGTAGTAAGGATAAGCTTTACAAGTTTTTTTGAAAGTTTCCCATACCACTAGAGGTGAGGTGGTATCATGATTTATTGTAAAAAAAATGGGTCCATTCCTTACTAAGTGTATCAGTATCAGATATGGTTGTAAGCCAGAAGGGTTTAGTCTCCATGTTGGGATAGGTTGTCTATTGTATACCTGTAGAGTAACCCAATAAGGGGCATGGTCTGACAATAGTCTGGGACAAAAACCTTCCTTACATCTGGAACCTAAAATTGTGGATAAAGCGATTAAAATCAATCCTGGAAAAAGTGGAGTGTGTGGTGGAAAAACAGGAGTATTCCCTACGTAGGGGATATAGATGTCTCCAGGTATCAAAGCGACCAAAGTCAATAAACGACTGAACTGCGTTTCCCGTGTGTTTGAAGGAGGGGGTGTTGGTTGGTTAAATCAATACAGGGAAGGGTTGAGGACTGTGTTTGTCCCCCATCCAAATCGCAGGTATTGAGGCATACTGAGACATAAAACTAAAACCGTCACTGAGTACAGCAGAATTGAAAGGGGGAGGGACATACCAGGCTTACAATAGCAGGGGATTATCCGAGATTTACACACATGTAAAAAAACATATCGACCCTCAGGGTCCAACACAATATTCAATGGCTCAAAGTGTACTGATTTAGCAACCAGTATAAAGACTCCTCTAGAATAGCTAGTGCGCGTAGCATGAAAAGTCCATCCTATCTAGGGCCTCCGTAAAGCTTTCTGCAGGTGACCATCTACAGGTGAAACTCAAAAAATTAGAATATCGTGCAAAAGTTCATTTATTTCAGTAATGCAACTTAAAAGGTGAAACTAATATATGAGATAGACTCATTATATGCAAAGCAAGATAGTTCAATCCATGATTTGTCATACTTGTGATGATTATGGCTTACAGCTCATGAAAACCCCCAAATCCACAATCTCAGAAAATTAGAATTTTGTGAAAAGGTGCAATATTCTCGGCTCAAAGTGTCCCACTCTAATCAGCTAATTAAGCCATAACGCCTGCAAAGGGTTCCTGAGCCTTTAAATGGTCTCTCAGTCTGGTTCAGTAGGAATCACAATCATGGGAAAGACTGCTGACCTGACAGTTGTGCAGAAAACCATCATTGACACCCTCCATAAGGAGGGAAAGCCTCAAAAGGTAATTGCAAAAGAAATTGGATGTTCCCAAAGTGCTGTATCAAAGCAAATTAATAGAAAGTTATGTGGAAGGGAAAAGTGTGGAAGAAAAAGGCGCACAAGCAGCAGGGATGACCACAGCCTGGAGAGGATTGTCAGGAAAAGGCCATTCAAAAGTGTTGGGGACTTTCACAAGGAGTGGACTGAGGCTGGAGTCAGTGCATCAAGAGCCACCACACACAGACGGATCCTGGACATGGGCTTCAAGTGTTGTATTACTCTTTTCAAGCCGCTCCTGAACAACAAACAACGTCAGAAGCATCTTACCTGGGCTAAAGAAAAACAGACCTGGTCTGTTGCTCAGTGGTCCAAAGTCCTCTTTTCTGATGAGAGCAACTTTTGCATCTCATTTGGAATCCAAGGACCCAGAGTCTGGAGGAAGAATGGAGAGGCACCCACTGCAAGATGCTTGAAGTCCAGTGTGAAGTTTCCACAGTCTGTGTTGATTTGGGGAGCCATGTCATCTGCTGGTGTTGGTCCACTGTGCTTCATTAAGTCCAGGGTCATTGCAGCTGTCTACCAGGAGATTTTGGAGAACTTCATGCTTCCTTCCGCAGATAAGCTTTATGGGGATGCTGACTTAATTTTCTAGCAGGACTTGGCACCTACCCACACCACCAAAAGCACCAAAACCTTGTTCAATGACCGTGGGATTACTGTGCTTGATTGGCCAGCAAACTCGCCTAACTTGAACCCCGTAGAGAATCTATGGGGCATTGCCAAGAGAAAGATGAGAGACATGAGACTGAACAATGCAGAAGAGCTGAAGGCTGCTATTTGAAGCATCCTGGTCTTCCATAATACCTCAGCAGTGCCACAGGCTGATAGCTTCCATGCCATGCCGCATTGAGGCAGTAATTGCTGCAAAAGGGGCCCAAACCAAGTACTGAGTACATATGCATGCTTATACTTTTCAGAGGTCTGTTATTGTTCTATGTACAATCCTTGTTTTATTGATTGCATGTAATATTCTAATTTTCTGAGATTGTGGATTTGGGGTTTTCATGAGCTGTAATCCATAATCATCACAATTATGACAAATCACTGCTTGAACTATCTTGCTTTGCATGTAATGAGTCTATCTCATATATTAGTTTTCACCTTTTAAGTTGCATTACTGAAATAAATGAACTTTTGCACGATATTCTAATTTTTCGAGTTTCACCTGTATGTGAGTTTCAACTAGGGCCATTATATCAACCCTTTGTTTTTTAAGGTAAGTCAACACCGCAGTTCGTTTCAATTTATCACAGAGACCACAGACATTCCAAGTGAGACATTTTAGTTGAGCCATAAAGATGCCATAGAAATATTCAAGAGCCAGTGTATTCATGCCAGGACCCTCAAAAGTGAGTTAAGCAGATATTGAAATGCGCTCAGCGGATATCCCCACCACTGCAGCACATACAGACACAAAATAACATATCATACATATCTCATACATTGTCACTAAAATGTAAAAAAACCCTAGCCCTCCCAGCTCTGCCCATACCCCAATTTGTGCGAGCATTATTCCCAAACAGTGCACCAAAAATCTGAATGTGCAAACTAGAAAAAACAACTAAGAAGATGAATAATCTCTGAAAAACAAGTCAAGGTGGTAGGTTCAGGAGCCAACAAGCACGCATCCATCCCATATGGGAGGAAACACTGGTCATGGAAGGAGCTTACGGCATCAAATATAGCGCAAAGGTGGTCCTGGAGTGCCCCTCTAGGAAGTGTAGATGAGGGAGGGGTATGAGAGGGTAGTTCCATGTTTGTGGGTGACAGATGACGAATGTCCTATAAACATATATAGCACCCAAAATAGCAGAGATGAGGAGCTATCCCCAATATTCAAGAGGTTGTGAAGCAGGATGCCCCGTGGTGGCTATGTATGTCTTCCAGAAGATGAGAGAGAATGTGGGTAAAAAAAAAATCTCAGGAGGGATCCAGTTGATCCAGCCACGTCATTGGCAGCCTCCGGTTCCTCAAAAAAGTGTACACGGTCTTCTCCAACCACGCGGAAATGTGACGGGTACAACATAGGATACTTAAGATGGCGGATGCTAAGGCGTTGTTTAACCCTTTGAGGACCAAGGGACGTATTTGTCCCATGTTTTTAATTGCGTTTATCATCTGATTAAGAACTTAAAACTTTTTTTTTTTTTCTTTTTTTTTTTTCTTGGTTTGAGTCAAAATATTAGTTATCAACAAACAACAAATGGATCTAGCTTTTTGCCAATTATTTCATGAAATGGCTTAGTTACAGCAACTGAAGTGTACAAACTTTAAAAACAAAAAAATTGATTCTTTTGGCGTTCCAAAATCTTACGGTCCTCAAAGGGTTAACAGTTAGAAATCTATTGCGACAACGTTTTATCTCCGTAGAGAAATCCAGAAAAATGGCAATTTTCGTGTTATCAAAAGGTATATTACCCATCTCCCTGGAAAGGCGCAGTATAGCATCCCGATTTGTGTAATTTAGCAATGAAGGCCCGTGGCGGGGCTCCCAGAGGGGGTGGTTTAGCCGGTAGGCACGCTCCACTACAAACATAGCTGAGTAGGCCTCACTACCATAGGTGGAAATAAGAAGGTTTTCCAGGAATTCTGCCGGATTGTTTCACTCTGCACCTTCAGGAAGGCCAGTGAAGCGGAGGTTATTACGCCTCATCCTATTTTCAAGGTCAACTTGCTTCTGTTGCAATTGTAATAGAAGATGGCGTGCCTGTTCAGAGGAGTCCTGTAGTGGGGGAGAGCATCCTCCACACGACATACCCTATCTTCTGGTTCAGATACACGGGCCCAGAGCTTCTGAAGATCCTGCCGAATAAGGGAAATATCCACCTTAACTTCTTTTATTTTAGATGTAAGTGATGTTTGGCAGGTCGAGATAGCTTCCAACACCCTAGCCGTCTCTGCTGATGTGGATTCCAGAGCAGTAGAGGAGCCGCTATCCTCCCCTGACGCATCCTGTTCTTTATGTCTGTATTTGTCCAGCTTAACACAGGCATCTGCTGTTTTCCAAGGGGGAGACATGATTCGTGCTATTAGGTTGACCCTTCAGTGATAAATCTGGTCAGGAAGGCTGCTGTGTGTGACTGTGGGAGGGGCCTGAACATGGCGCCGTGAGGCAGAGTAGCTCCGGATGCCAGCAGTGGAGATGCTAATAGACCAATGGGTGGATACTGTACTGACATCCTACTATCATCCCATCCGGGTTGCCCTCTTACCTG